CCAAATAATACAATATAAAAAAAAAAAGAAAAGAAAAATTACAATGGTTGGAGCTTTTACTTTCTGCCTCTTCTCCTGATGACCCTCTAGGACAGAGGGTAGCTCCTACCCAAATGGAACAGGGGAGAGAAAAAAGGTCCAAGTAACCTCTACTGAATAATAAATAATCCACACTTGTCAATCTGTACTAGTCCTGCTGAAAGAATCTGGCAGGTTTATTCCTTTAAAAAAAAAAAAAAAATTCTTCCAGGGCTAACTTCTATCACACCTAAAATCCAAGTAACATCCAAAGTTCTCACTCAGCCGTGCACAGTGTTGCATGCCTGTAATCCCAGCAGCAGCTCCAGAGGCTGAGGCAGGAGGACTGTAAATTCAAAGCTAGCCTCAGCAACTCAGCAAGACCCAAGACCATGTTTCTAAATAAAATACAAAAAAAGGATGGGGATGTGGCTCTGTGATTAAGAGCGCCTACATCCCCAGTACCAAAAACAAAACAAAAACAAACCTTATTCAGCCTAGTGGCACAGCCCTACTGGTTACTGAACATCCCCATCTCCCTCCACCCACAGCCAATGTCAGTCCCTGCTCTGCTGTGTCTGCGGGCCCAGGCATCCTACCGTTTCCCCCTGTGCGCTCCACTCCCCTCCACCCTACTCAAGTGCCATTCTATGCACAAAGCCTTCCTCAGACACTGCTGTCTCCATTCTCTGAAGTCTGGTGAAAGCCAGCCAGCCTTTCTCTAGGAAACTAGGGAGGAGGACCAAGGAAAGTGGGAGCTCTGAGCACATGGATGAGAAGTTTAGGCGGTGACCACCGACTTCTGACACTTCTGCTTCCCAAGAGAAGCTTGGTGTAAAATAATTTGGGAAGGCCTCCACATTTAGGTGGCAATTAGAGTCACTAAGGATAGATGAAAATATTTACAGATAGTATGTCACACAGTCAGGCACAGTGGCACATACCTGTAATCCCAGCAGCTTGGGAGGCTGAGGCAGGAGGATGGCAAGTTCAAAGCCAGCCTTAGCATGCTAAGCAACTCAGTGAGACTCTGTCTCTAATAAAATACAAAATAGGGCTGGGGATGTGGCTAAGTGGTCAAGTGCCCCTGAGTTCAATCCCTGGTACCAAAAAAAAAAAAAAAAGTGTGTCACATATATTGTTTTTGGTTTGCAGGATTATACAGGGACTGAATACAGGGCCTCACACATACTAGAACACTTGATCACTGAGCTTCATCCCCAGCCCTTTTTGATTTTTTTTTAAGTTATTTTTTGGACACAATATCTTTATTTATTTTTAGATGGTGCTTAGGATTGAACCCAGTGCCTCACATGTGCGAGTGCAAGGCAAGCACTCTGCCACTGAGCCACAACCCCAGGCTGCTTTTTACTTTTTGAGACAGGGCCTCACTAAGTTGCCCAGACTGGCTTCCTACCTGCAATCCTCTTGCCTCGGTGTCCCAGGTAGCAGACCATAGGTGTGTGACACAGGAGTACATAGTTTTAAAAAGAGAAGTAATCTTGCTTGTGTTTGTGAATCACTCAATAGGTCCATCTTATGATGTCACTCTCCTAAGTACCCCCACTCCCCCAACAAGGCAGCAAGCTGAAGGAATGATATTACACACCCCTGCCCAGGGCCAAGCACAGGACCAGTGCCACCATCCTCCCCAATACACCTGCCCTGCAGGAACTGAGGCAGACAGCAGAGCACCCGCAGTCCCAACTTGCAGATTGAAGACACTCAGCTCACCCCAGAGGCAGGAAGTTGAGATCCTCAAGGGAGAAAACCTTCATTTTATAACTGCATCAAAGAGAAAGTACTTTTTTCTCTTTGTTGTGATTCACCAGATTCTGGTACAATGAGACAAAAAAAAAAAAAAAAAAAACACAGGAGATCTCAGAGGACAACAGCTGTTTTCTCCCCACCCCAGCAGCTAGACCAAGGTGTTCTCTTTTTTTCCCTATAATCAATGGTCAAGGACAAGAAAACTCTTCAGAATTCCAGAGTTCTCCAATGACAGGAAATGTCCCAAAATTATAGTGGGAAGGCCTGATCGGGTAACAGAAAAAAACCACCCCAGACAAGAAGTCAGGAGCAAGGAGTTCAGCCTCACCTCTGGCACTAGCCAGCCCTGGGACTTCTTCCTCAGGAAGGGATAGGGCCCTGGATACCAGAGTCACAAAGATTCCATGCTTTGCCCTGGGGTTGCCAGAGAATCAATGAATAGGAAAGTAAGACACAAAATGCTAAACGGCCTTGCAACTACCAATCCTGGCACTGGAGCCCCTTCTTCCCCCAAAACCCAACACTGTATATTTCTTAGTCACCTCTGTATCCCCAGGCCTCAGCGAGTCAGCTAACTGAGCATGAGCTGCCAGGGGGATTTGATTGGCCCACCTGCCCAGGAACACTAAGTCCGTGCCCTACTCCGAGGTCCTTCAGGTTTCAGGCCCCATACAATTAGACTGCTGGCCACCCTTTGCCTTGGCACCACAGACTCCCATAGCGCACAAGGTGCCTACCGGGGATGGGTGTTCTCGACCAGAGGCCCACTCAGTTGTGGAATCTGCTACAAAAGCTTCCTAAATGGGTGATGGCACCATTTCCAATGTAAAGAGATGGTGATAAAACAGCTTCTGCTTGATGCTTGGGTCCTAGGGAAGCCAGCCAGCTCCTCCCTCAGGCTCCACTGGGCCGCACAGTGAGGCCGGCTCACTGGCAAAGCCTTGGAGGGGAAATCGCTGGGGAGTGGAAGCACTCAGGGCACAGTGCTAGGATTCCCGGATCATGGCCCCTTAGGGGTAAGACCAAAGCCTCCGCCCCTTCAGCCAGAGCACCTCTTACACACTGTGCAATGCCCCATAAGAAGGGCTCCCTGATCTAAAGAAAAAAAGTTTGGGGACACTACTTCGGAGCAATCCATTCCTTGGGAAGACCCCAGCACCCCACTGTTTACTCACCATGTCACTCCTTTCCCCAAGAGGCTTCAGGTGGCATCTCGCCATTCCAAACACTATCCTAATTTTTTCCTAATGTATTAAATAAAATGAACTTAACTTCCCCTTGAAAGTTATTTTTCTAAGGATTTCGTGAAGCCACAGAACTCTGCATTGTGGGAAAATAGATCTGAAATCACTGCCCTTGGGGATAAAATCCAAACCCTACTCTATCCCTTTCTTGGCGTCAGGACTAGCTCCTAGAACTTCTGCCTGAGGCCCCACCTTCTCCAGGAGGCCTGGTCAGGGTGGATCCAAATTAACAGCAATTCATCCACTAGGTTACCTAGACCAGAGACTGAAGCTAGCACTGATTCACACACACCCCAAAGAAGACTTGAGTCCATACTCCAACTTCTGTGCTTCCTCCCTCTGAAAGATTTCTGGAGATAATCTTGGACAAACTTCCTCCTTCACAAAGACAGAAGTAATTAAAAAGAAAAAAAATTGCCCCATAAGACCCTTCCCCCATTCCTACCCTCAGGGCCACATCCAACAGCCCCTTCTTAGCATCTTCCAAAGCACAATCCCAGGAAAGCACTATATTTGCCCAGAATGCAGCTTTGAGGGAGAGAGGTGTAAGAGAGTGGGTCACTCAAGGTGGAGACAGCAGGACTACTGATAGACAAGCTCTGCTATGTGGCAGACAGTTTAGATTCTCTGTCAGTTTCTTTCAGCTATAAAAACTGAATGGAGATGGCCCATGTAGTTGAGAGCTATTACAAGGAACACCTTATAAAATCACTCCCTTAATAACTGAGGCTTTTAACAGCCACATAAATGGGTCTCTTTAGCCTTTGCCCTACAAGTTGCTAAGGGCAATTTTTCAGCCCTCTCTGCTCACTTCTTTTTTCCTTTTACATATGTGTCTTCATTTATTTTTATTTTATACATCAGCTAACTCTTAAGGACAAAACTTAGAAAGGATGTACTTGCTGTTCCCTGGCTCTGAATGTGTTAAACAAAACAATATATCATAATTCAAAACTTGTGGCGCTCAATACTTTCTGAGCATTCCAGCCAGTCCAAGCTAGACTTTTCTCTCTGGGAAACAGGAATAATAGCTAGTTCGCATGGTGGTAACAATTAACACTTGGTAAAGCAGAGTGCCTGCCACGACCGTAGGTGCACAATAAATGTTAGTTCTGCTCCTTTCTCAGTGCAATGCTTTCTTCCTGGCATCCACACTCCCTGATCCGTCCAGAACAAGACTAGCACTCCTCACAGACTCCCAGCAGTACCCCTTCCCTATAGGCACACTGAAAAATCATTCACTTCCAAGAGAAAGAAGGGGTTCCAAAGGGTACCAGCCACAAGCCTTCCTCCGAAGGAAGCTCGCTCAGTGCTCTCGGGAGAGAACTGAGCTCCAACAACCACTACTAAGATTTTCCCATGTTGCAATGCAACTTCCCCAACTTTTCCCGACCCAGTTTCCAAAGAAACCTGGGCAGGCTTTGTGCAAAATCAACCACAAGTCTGGATGAGCTGAGATTGAACTTCGGGCAGAGGGAAGGGAGCTAGGTCAAAAAGTGAAGTCCTGAAAGAGGGTGGCAGGGACCAAAATGCAGTTGCACTGGTCCTGGCTCAGGCTCCCTTCTTCTTGATTGTGCCACTGGTTAAATGCTAGCACAGGCTGCCAAACGACTAGCGGACGGTGAAGACTCATAGAAAAGAAACCCAATGTCCCTCCAAGGCACCCCTCAACCCCGACGCCGCGACTGGACCTGGTGGCCTCCGGGGGACCCTGCAGCCGTGGCACCTGGGAGGGAGAAGGCCTGGGGGAGGGGCAGCATTGTTCACAGAGACCGGCGGGACTGGAGGAGGAGGTGTGAATTTGGGGTCCAGGCGTCGCCCGCTCCCCGCAGGGGCTAAAGGAGAGAAGGTGTCACTCGGGGCAATCGCCGTGTAGCGCAGGGGCCCCAGCGAGATCCCCCTGGGCAAGCTGCCGAGGGAAGGAATAGAGGTCGAGACGAGAGGCCGCGGCGGGGGTCTGACACTCACCGGCGCCCTCGGCGGGCTGCGGCGGCCCGACGACGCCGTTCAGGTAGAGAATGGGCAGCAGGTGAGGCTGCGTCTTCTCCAGCGCCGCGCGCAGGTCCTGGAAGTGGTCCCGCTCCTTGGCCAGGAGCAGCTTGAGCAGCAGCTCCGCCTTGGCGCCTCCCGCCTCCTCGTCCAGCTGCCGCCGCTCGCCAGGGCTCAGCGCTCCCGCGGCCTCGAGCAGTCCGAGCACGGCTTCCACCTCCGTCATGGCCTGGGCCAGGCTCTGCTGACACTGGGCGAGCAGCTCCCGGCGCTGGGGCTCCATGGTGGCGGGCCGCGCCGCCCCGCCCCGCCGG